TTGGTATTTTCACCCCCTATCTGTGAACCCCTAAGTGGGGGTAAGAGGTACCCTCAAAATTTCAAATGGAAAGGATGGTCGAGCGATACGTCATTTGGTAGTATTTTCATTGAGATTATATCCACACCTATGCGTAGGTAGCAGGTAAAAACCACACAGCATTTTTCCATTGATTTTTCCTAACTTTGATAAGCCGCCATTTCGACAGGGTAAATAGTAGTAACTTGAAACTTCGGGGATATAATCTTAATAAAAATAGCTATCAAATGACGTATCACTCGAACCCATTTCATTTAAATTTTTGTGGGTACCTGTCACCCCCACTTAGGGGTTCACAGGTAGGGGGTGAAAATACCAATAAAATGTTTCCCCAAAAAACAAAAATTGACGTGTCTGAGCGACTAACTGAATAATGCCCATATTACATCTGTTTATTTTTCCATGTACCTACCTATTTATTCATGTAGTTCAGCGTGTCAACCGAAAAACTCCAATTGCAACATTAATCAAGATTATGAAAAACAAAATAATGTTGGCACCCTGAACTACATGAATAAATACACGGAAAAATACACAGATGTAATACGGGCATAAGACATCTGGGCTGGAACTCTATAACGGATAGAGATCGTAATCACTATCGCTATGGCTTTTGCTGTCTTCTTCTGCCTTGTGGAAATCAATAGAGAGGAGATGTCAATAGAGATAGAGAAAATATCTCCATTCGCTACAGAGTCCCAGCCCTGGTTGCTAGATATGGTGCACTATCTATTCCATAGCTAACTGTTTGCAGCTCAATGCCTACGTAATCCTCGTCTGGACTATCCCGCCATAATATATTTTGAAAATGTGTGTGTTTCTCATCGACTAAAACCTGTCAAAACATTTTCTCTACATCTGTCATGAAAACGTAAATAAAGAACCTAAGCCTACAAACTATATCAAAGAGATCAGCTTGAACTATAGGACCCTTGTACATAACGTTATTTAATGACAGCCCAGAGGTAGTCTTCATCGGATTGTCAAAAATTACCCTCAACTTAGTAGTTACACTCTCTTCCCTTACGACTGCCTGGTGTGCAATGAATTTCCTACTCGAATTCTACTTTTCTCATCCTCATTCAAACATATATATTTTGCATAACCCCAATCTTATAATATATTCATGAATAAAGTCGGTATATTTTTGATACAATTATTTATTTTTAATCAATCTCCTTTCTAAGGCATAATATCTATGTTCAGCAATATCAAGTGACTTCCCTAAATTCAGCTTACTTATTTCCCTCCTGAAAGGTAAATTTACTATAAACCTTCGCTGTTCATTTCGTTATTTGTTGTTTCAAATATATTTTCAAATTTTTTGTCATCTGGTAATAACCTTCTTTTCTCAGATAACTCCTCCAATTGCCAGAATTTTGGAATTAATAGGTCAACTTCATTTCTTAAAAATAAAACAAAACTCGCATTATTTGACAAATTCACCGTGTCAAACTCGGTGTTAACCCTAAATGAACTACCCAAAATCCAACAAAATTAAGTAATAACTAATGTTGGTAAACTTGACCGCAAATTTATTATCCCAGGTTCCAACAAATCAAAATACAAATCTGCCCCAATAAATTTGTCAATTTTATCAGGAATATTGAATTCTATATCTGCTAGATTAATATTAATTGGAATATTAAGACATAAAGAGTTAAAAACTGTCTGTGGCAAATTACAAGGTATTTGATCTAAAACTCCAAAATTTACCAAAAATGAGTCGTCAGAAAATATCGAACATTAATTTAAACTAACCTTTCTACTAACTCTACTCTTGTTTTGTGTTACCTCTGAAATTTCTAAATGCATGGGTTTCATCTCTGCCCCTAACAACTTTACCGCTTCAGTGGAAATAAAGTATATTAAAAAATTTATCCAAAACAAATCAAGTACCTGCAAAAAAAATAGTCATAACGCCCTACGTAATTATTTCCTATTTGAAAAAATATTCATAACGCCCCAGGGCGTTATTTTTTAGAATAACGCGCTAGTGAATTATTTCGTATTTAACTGACTCTCACATAATGTCATTATTTCTCGAATAATATGCCAGTCGGACATTAAACCTTTAACACAATATTTGAAATCAGTAAATAGTCCTATTAAGCACCTTGTTTTTTTTTAACAACCTTAACGATATCTCCGAGGATATCTCCTAATCCTTCAAATGATCGAGCAAATAATAATTTCAAGCCTAATTTTTCCTTTAAACCCTAAATGCACAATAAAAGAAGTTTTACTTGTGCCCTTGCCCCTTAATAAACAACTTTTGTCCTAAACTAAAATTTAACAAACAAATAAATATTATATGAGGGTGTTTTCTTATATTTTGACCCTACCTACAGCTTTAGCTATACGAGGAGGAAAAAAACTTTAAAAATGAAAGTTGTAAGGTTTTATGTCTATTATCTTTTGCGAATGTCAAAATTGGCAAATGACAGGTGCCAACTGTCACAATGACCAACACTTGCATTTTTCAAACGGGGACCCTGTATATTTTTGGCTAGAATGATAGATTTTTTTCTTCTGATTCCAAATATAGCATAAATGTTGATATTTGGTTCAACTGCTTTTACGCTATTGAAGTTTAAAAATGCATTTACATTACCCTTAATTTAATCTGTCCTAGTTTCTTATATCAATACAATCTTAAAATTAAATAGCGCAAAAGCAACTGGACCAAATATCAACATATATGGTATATTTGGAATCAGAAGAAAAAAAGCTATCATTCTGGTAAAAAATATACAGGGTGTTCCATTCGAAAAATGCAAGTGTTTGTCATTGTGACAGTTGGCACCTGTCATTTGCCCGTTTTGACATTCGCGAAAGATAATAGATATAAAACCCTACAACTTTCATATTCAAAGTTTTTTTCCACCTCTTATAGCTGAAGCTAGAGGTAGGGGTCAAAATATAAGGAAATACCCTGTACACCATGTCATGACATCATTGTACCAGACAGGGACAGAAATTTTTCGCGTGCTCTGCTCGGAGCTGCTCCAAGCGCCCATAAACCGATGAGTTTGAACAAGTCGTAATCAATACGCTTTTTGGCTTGCAATCCCCAACACCTACTAAATTAGTAATTTAGCCTATATTAACTATATCTAATTGAAAAAATCTATTAGTATTACTTTCCAAAAATTACAACAAAGAAAAGGCTGCGATCATAAAGCTGCACCGATATTGGAAAAAAAGAAACAAGTATTCTGAACTCTCAACGCTAGATTCAAGTGAAAGCAAATTTACATAATAATACGGCTATTATCCACTTTCGGTCCCTTTTTGTGAGGCCTGGAAGCACGAGATGTCCGAAATGTAGCAAAATCGCATGCAGTTTTTGCTTCTCATAATTTAGCTAGTTCTAAAGTACGTATTATGTTCATGATCATAAAATTGTAAATTGTTAATAAATAAATTAAAGCCTCGATTAAAGCTTATAGCGCCCTGATATATTAATGACGATTATATGTAATGGGAGATAAGGCAAGGCAGGTAGTGAAACTCCAATTCAATTTCCCAACCTTTCGTTGTTTATTGCGTCTTTATCAAGGGTCTGTAAATAAAGAAAAACACATCGATAAAAACATTGAATAAGTTAAATGAAATTACACAACAAAAAAGTAAATAGAAATAAAATAAAAATACAATAAAAAATAATTGAATCAAGAGCAAAATCAATTACATCAAGATAGTCAAACTAAATTAACGTGAAATTACAGTTTAGAGAATACATGAGAACCGAAGCAATAGTTGTCTATGCGTTGTTAATTTATTGGTATGCTATTTTGAACCATATAAACCATGTGAATTATTATCAAGAACCACGATTTTAATTAATGTAATTCTTTTTTTTTGCACTTACCAATCTTAAAGATTGGTAACTGCATTGATGCATATTGGTTCTGACCTTCAGTGCAGATTATTATACAGTTGACATCCTATATTTTGTATATTGACTTTGTGTGTGATGTTATTAATCATAGGTGTTCCATATTACAATTCACTAATGCATTTTATGTTCTATAATGGCTACTTTAACATCCCTGTAACTCTTTAAGATTGGTAAGTGACAAAAAAGATTTATATTAATCAAAATCTTGGTTCTTGATAATAATAATTTATATGGTTGCTATGGGTCAAAATCGCATATCATTGTGTTTGAATAAATTAACAATGCATAGAGACCTATTGCTTCGGTTCTCATGTATTCTCTGTACTGTAATTTTACGTTAATTTTGTTTGACCATCTTGATGTAATTGATATTGCTCTTGATTCAATGATTTTTTATTGTATTTTCATTTTTTTTCCATTTATTTTTTGGTTGTGTAATTTCATTTAACTTATTTAATGTTGTAGATGTGTTTTTCTCCATTTACAGACCCTTGATAAAGTTGTAATAAACAACGAAACGTTGGGGAATTGAATTGGAGTTTCAGTACCTGCCTTGCCCTATCTCCCGCTACATATAATCGTCAAATAAATTAAAGTTGAGTGAAAATTGTCTGGAGCCTTTTTCTCCTATACCCATTGCCTTTACCCGATGGGGATGGCAAATTTTTGAATCGGACGTTTCGTATCCTGGATATTTCATTCGATTTTTTTTTGACAAAAAATAATTATTCATGAGACACATACAGGTCGTGAAACTGATAATCTCATGATGATTGCAAATGAACGAAACGACGAACTTGAAATTTAATTTTGCCATGTCGCAGAGCCCAGAGGATAATTGCAATAACAGGATTGTTTTTTCGTGAGTGTACGTGTGTGCATTATTTACATTCTTCTGATGGTTGATATTATTATGACCGGAATGTATATTTTAGCTGAATTTCTTTCCATTTGCATTGATATTTTTATTTTTTAGCACAAGCTACGATTAAAATATCCAGGATACAGTTCTAGAAACTTCGAAATACCTACATTTCTAAAATTAGCTTTGGAACAATTCTATTTTTTTAGCCGTTCCAATTCATATAAAAAATAAAATAAAAATAAGCGATGCTTGTTTTTCAGATCTCTCAGAAACCGAAGTTATGAGATAGGTACCTACTTATATATTTTGCTCTGGCAACAAAAATAAAACAAGCAATAAAAGTGTTCGCGAACAATACACTTTCCAGCAATGTATATTGTTAGCTTTTACGACTTATAAACATCTAAGAGTGTCCAACTGCAAATTGGAAACATAAAAAACGAATAATTCTTATTTTCGACTCTAGAAGTTGGAGCTTGCCGAAACATAAATAGAGTTACAAAATAAAATGTATTGCTGGAACCTTTGTTAAATAAATACATAATTATGAAGATATTTTTATATTATACAACTTAGATGAAACATTAGTAATTATTGTTCCTTCAAAAGTTCAGCAACTGGTATTTTCGCATGATAACATTTCACTAGCTCAAAGGCAGTATCCAGAGCATTCCCCTGGTCTACTAAACATTCTTGAACAATTTTATCCATTTTGTCTTCGAATCCATACATCATTATTAGTGCATTTTTCAAAGCTTCTTTGTCAAAATTATTACACTCGTCAATATAACCACTCTTTTTTCCAGTACATACCAAAAATTTTTTAAGCCTTATATCATTGGAGAATTCATTATTCATTGCTCTTTCTACCATTTCGTTGGTTGCTTTAGTTTCAGATAGACATGCGTTAGTAAATTCGGCCATTAATTTCCGGATTTCAGGAGACACTTTCTGTAAAAAAGTATATCAACTAATTTCAATCATACAAGTTAAGTAACTTACAGTCATAGAAGTAACTGCCATCGTTGCTAACAGCACAACTACAATGAATATACCCATTATTTCCACTTGTCTTAACTACTGAAAATTTAATCTATACAAAAAACATATAGTGAGCTTGTTTCGGCGGATGCTGCCAATGTCTATTGCATTATATTAAATTGCATAAGTAAAGGTTTTGAATTGTTAAAATAATTGTACGTTAAGTAGCAATATTTTCTACCAATTTACCGGTCTATAATTGAAACCAGCAAATATTTTATTATTGTTTTTTAATAAAACCAGGCTTAGAGTATATGTATAGGTAGGTACCTTTTAAATTATTGTCTTTGAACAATTCGCGATGTTTGTAGACTTATTAGGTACGTAATTCCTGAGGCAGGTGATTCAACATTTTCCACATGGTATAATTGTGTTTTCAAATAAGTATAGATTTGGGTATAGGTAGGGGTATCGTAAAATCATGTCGCAAAGATTATCCAGAGGCAGCCCGAATATTGAAACGGAAGTTCTCTGGCATCCGACAACCTGTTTCATGAATGTACCAACATGCAAAGAAATTTCAACAGAGAGTTGTCACAAAAATAGTTTACAGAACTCCCTTCTCTTTAGTTTCAACATTAAACGCGGTGTTCTATTCTACAGAACGAGAGTGAATTGAATAAAGCAGAATAAACAGTCCTTGCTGTCAACAGGCAACACACCTCAATACATAGAAACCATTTCCTTAATATTTTAAATGTACTGTCAAAGTTAGATTTAACATCGACAAGCGAATCCAGAAATCTGCTAAAAGTTTCCCAGACTCCGCGTCGTCTTGGGAATATTTTCTAACCGGCATTTGAAACACATCATTATAATCTTGAAAAAATTCAGTCTTGGATGGTTTGCATTACACAACAAGTCGCTGAACTGGATCAATAAACCCACAAAATCGTCGCTTCATGTGAAAAAATAGTAAGTAATCGATCCATTTACATCCTTCCTTCTCTTCTCCATGACATTCATGTAGAAACCGGAGATCCAGCACAGAGCCCTGAGGATCCTCGGAAGTAGTTTTCGAGCTATATAATATAGGGTATCATCGCCAACAATAACCAATATGAACCACCTCAAAACTGTTTTCTTCCATAGAATTCAGGCTTGCTGAGCAGTATGACGTGATCCACACAAAAGCTTTGCAATTTTGTCCTCATCAATATGGATTTACAGATCCTCCAAAAACGAGTTTATTATTTTTTCACCCCTTAACCCGGCATTACACGCGTCAAAAAACTTACGTCGTTACACGCGTTCGGTCAAATCGACCGACTGCCCAAAAGTTTATATGATTTATTAGCTTTTTTCGCGGAAACGATCCCAAACGTATTCTGAACGCTAAGGCATGACCTACGCAAGTTTACTAAACAATAGAAACATGAAACTTTCAAATATTACCTACGTAAGTCATGCCTTAGCGTTCAGGATACGTATGGGACCGTCTCCGCGAAAAAAGTGTACAAGCACTATTATTCCTAGAATTCATAATTATTACAAAGGGAATTATATTATGCAGTACAGTTACCGTATTATCGACAGCCAAAAGTACTTCCAATATCAGAAAATGCCAATTTTCAACACAAATATTTCAGATAATGAGGTTCACGTGCCTAGTCAAAAGCACCGACTATGAAAACAACGAACCCTTTTTCAACCAAAAACCAAAATATCTTTGGGCCAATGGGTAGTGGAAAACCTGCATCAGGCATTCCTGGATGGACAAAACTGTCACCCTTGTACCAGTGGCGTAATTACTGATTTTATCAATGGTTGTTCCTTTTGACAGGCAAGCGGGTTAAAAGTATATAATTGATGAGACTGGAATCCGAATGATGATCGATCCAATATTTTGTGAACTCAAAAAACTGATCAAATGGTTTTTTCAATTTTTTCCGATGGAATTGGCAAGAAAGACACCGATCTGAAGTTTGGGAGGTCCTTGAATCACCCGTGTCATGCAATAGAATAACTGAGCTCTAGCCGTTAAAGCCATGAAGGAGATATGCCCGCGATAAATAAATAATTAACAGAAAACAGCGAGTCCATAGTAGATTTTGGAAGTCCTCCTCCCCATCCAACATACAATGGAAAAAGGCAAAGGAATATAGGAAATAGGTCCAGTCTGTGACACACAACAAAATTGTTGTTCCCAGATAGATTTGTTAATTGCAATATATTAATATGTTTTTTCGGACTTAGTTCTGAAGCTGAACCAGTTTTTGGTGTCCGATCCTTTCAGTTCTAGAATTCCAAATTTGCCATTTAGGCAAACCCTTTGTTGAGAACTGTTCGGAAATTTACAAATTGAAAACGGACTTTGAACTATAAGTCTTAACGAATCTAATATCTTTATTTGAGAAAAGGACTTCTTCGGCACCTGTGACGTCATATGACATATGAGATAGAATATGTGGCGTAACATCGAGTCTTCGATGTACAAACTTTACTTCGTGCTTGTTCTGTGATTTACGAAAAGATCCATCCCTTCAATTCAAGAGAAACGTGAAAAAGGTAAGCTGACTTGCGAATTTTATTGAAAAATAAATCCAGGCTGGCCCTCAGAAATCAACTTTTGTTAAAATATATCATTAATTCTAGCTTCCTGAATGGGCCAAATTTGCCAAAAAATATTGCCTTGAATATATTTTGAATAAAAAAAGCATTGGTCTAATGCAAACAAGGTTTATTGCACTCTTTTGATAAAGAGCAGATGCCTTTTATGGTAGCGGACCGTGTTGGCCAGTTCTCATCCAAGCATATTTTTAACTTAATTTGTGATGCACAAATTTTACTGATAAAGACGTGAAAGAAATATTATCAAAATTGGATATATCTTTAACACTTGAATGGACAGGTGGAAAAGTATATCAAGTCTGTTGTGAGTTTGCCTAGAACCGAAATTCTTCATAATTCGGAGTAGTTTTTGAAGTTGCAATCAACTTCCAACTTCCCTGTGCAAAAAAAAGACCAAATTTTCTTCAATTTATTCAAGGACGGAAATAGATAGTAGCATCCACAGCCACCAAACTTTGTTTTCTTCTTTGCTTTTTTTTTCTATTAATTTTTATCTCTCTGCACAATATATGTTTCCGGACAAGAACTTCAAATCTGGACCGGCGATTTCTCCAAATTATAATTTTTTTAAAGTAACGAAAGGCGCTACTCCGCTTTGTGAGTGAATTTAAAAAAAAAATATATATATAAAAAAAAAAACTATGATGGTGTACGTGATTTGAGAACTGACTTATCAAGCTGTAGATCCAATATTCCCTACCTAATAAAACGTTTTGAAAAACTTACAATAATATCACATAACCAAGTCAGCACATGTAATTCAATGCCAGTAGAGGTCTGAGTCTGCTCGTAGATTGGGTGGTTGCAAACGGCAAAGATTCACATGAAGGAAGACAATGGGAGACGACCTTTATCACAAGACAATGGCATGACTACATTTGATTCAAAAATTTCCGCAAGTATGGTATTAGTTCCTCAATCAGATCTCCAGGAAAAGCCGTATTAAATGTATCAAGAGCGCGAGTAAACTTGAGAAAGCCAGTGAAGATGGGACCATGGAATCTAAGAAGCTAATTAAAGTCTGGAAAGCTCCCAAATCTTAAAAGAGAAATGAATAGACTTACACTACATATCCTCGCTCTTGCTGCAACCGGGGTCTTTATTCTTGAAACAGGAGAGCAGCGTTCCTAGGAGAACGAGTGTTTCGTATTTGTTGCATTTGCATAATAATCGTTCTCCTGGGAACGCTGCTCTACTATTTCAAGAATAAAGACCGTGGCCTAGTGTGGAGGAATGCAGTGTGTAGAATAGAGCATTCTTGTAGACTATATCCCATACTCAGACCGTACTGCTTAATTCAAACCCGAAGAAAAGCCAAGCAACCTAGGGAGTGTGACCCAAAAATGGAAGTTTTAGAACAGAAAAAATATAAGAATAGATATTTAAACCAATGACATATTAATACAGATAGACATTACAGTGAACACAATTTTGTGTCGCCAGGAGAGCAATCCACTACCGGTGTATCTCCTCAAATTTAGTTGCCAAATTGTTACGGATTGATATTTTATCCTGTTAGGACATGCTTCAAAAAGTTGGAGGTTCAAGACTTAAAACGACTACTGGCAACCCTAGTTCTGTAAAACAGACGGAACACACGCTGCAATCGCACACGACCGCCTAGACCGTGACATCACACCGGCTTCGGAGGCACAGTATTAACACATGTAAGAATTTTCCAAAACAAAAGTCAATGATATCACTAAAGCGAATTGCAACGACTCAAAGTATAGAGCACGATTCATTGAGGACTGAACGAACAGAAGGCTGCGATTCCAGCGGATAGCAGGTGTGACGTCACAAATTCCTTTATAATTATCTTTATAAGAGATTTTCTCGGATACTATTCTGAATGTAGGACTGCGGTTTTCACAACAGATCTTATCTCTTTTTTGGGTCACACCCCCTTTAACATTATACAGGTATATTCACCAACTGCAGACTCGTCGGCCCAACACGTAGAACAATTTTATGATGAAGTCAAAGAAATGTTTAAAATAACTAAAAAAACATGACGTTGACTGCAATGCTGCAATGAGAGATGGTGTATTCGAAGAAATAGCTGGTCCCTAGGGGTTTGGATTAAGAATAAAGAGATTATCGAGTATCACAGTTCTGGTAAGAAAAAAAAAAAAAAAAACACGACAGTTAGGAATACGTAGTTCTAACTTCATCCTCAACGCCTCTTCATTTTGCAATTCTTGGCGGAGGGTCCATACTACGCGAAATAGATTTTATGCGTATCAACCGCCGATTTACTTCAATCGTTGAAAGAACTGGCACATTTCCTAGGGTATGTAGAACTTGATATATTAATGGATAAACGTCGAAAGCACTTGGTGAAAACTGAAATCCATGGTTGCAATAATCTAAAACTAACTTTTATTATGTTACAATAGATAAGGTCTATTTTCCCCACCCCTGTTATACAAAGACATAAGATCAAAGAAAAGAACGGCAAAGAACGAATGTCTCAAACGTGAATGCATTGAGATAAATAAGCTGCGAGGCTAAAAAACTTCTGAAGGAAAGAAGCTTCACAACACTAAATAAAATGTTTGAGAAAAGTTTTTGGATTAATTTTCTCCGCTTTTCCATCCATAGACGCATTTCGACCTATATCAGGTCTCATCAGTATGGCTAGGAAAAGCGAAGAAAACCAATCCAATTTTTTGCCTAAAGGCAAATACAAGAAATTCGAAGAGCGAATCTTGATCTTAACGCCATCTAGGACACGATAATCAACACTACACGCAATTTTGCTGTGCAAAATGGTGAACGTTCCAAAGGCAGACCAAAATTCAGTTCGTTTGGGTTTCACCCAAAAGTACCACTGTTTGAGAAAAGTTTTTGGATTAATTTTCTCCGCTTTTCCATCCATAGACGCGTTTCGACCTATATCAGGTCTCATCAGTATGGCTAGGAAAAGCGAAGAAAACCAATCCAATTTTTCGCCTAAAGGCAAATACAAGAAATTCGAAGAGCGAATCTTGATCTTAACGCCATCTAGGACACGATAATCAACACTACACGCAATTTTGCTGTGCAAAATGGTGAACGTTCCAAAGGCAGACCAAAATTCAGTTCGTTTGGGTTTCACCCAAAAGTACCACTGTTTGAGAAAAGTTTTTGGATTAATTTTCTCCGCTTTTCCATCCATAGACGCGTTTCGACCTATATCAGGTCTCATCAGTATGGCTAGGATCCAAAAAACTTTTCTCAAACAGTGGTACTTTTGGGTGAAACCCAAACGAACTGAATTTTGGTCTGCCTTTGGAACGTTCACCATTTTGCACAGCAAAATTGCGTGTAGTGTTGATTATCGTGTCCTAAATGGCGTTAAGATCAAGATTCGCTCTTCGAATTTCTTGTATTTGCCTTTAGGCGAAAAATTGGATTGGTTTTCTTCGCTTTTCCTAGCCATACTGATGAGACCTGATATAGGTCGAAACGCGTCTATGGATGGAAAAGCGGAGAAAATTAATCCAAAAACTTTTCTCAAACAGTGGTACTTTTCGGTGAAACCCAAACGAACTGAATTTTGGTCTGCCTTTGGAACGTTCACCATTTTGCACAGCCAAATTGCGTGTAGTGTTGATTATCGTGTCCTAGATGGCGTTAAGATCAAGATTCGCTCTTCGAACTAAATAAAATGTTTAACAATACCTATATGAGACAGGTCACTACCTACCCCAAACAATGGTTAGGCTCAACTTTATCTCCTTGTCTAAAAAGATTTAGACTAAGGCGAAGACCATAGACAGTCCTTTCCTCAAATAATGTACGAAAAGTGTGTAAGAGAGATGAGTGACTAGGTGCAAGAGAAACAAGTAGTAACAAGGCAAGGACTTGTTCAGATTCACTAAGAACAAAGAAATGACGCGTTCCTGTATTTCAAATATTATGGAAAAGCATTCTACTGAGTGCAACACCATAAATTAATACAGCTTTTTCTAATAAACAAATGAACCAGACACGATTTAGACCAGAAAGGCATCCGATGTATCGAAAGTTTATATTGGCACCAATCTGCATGAATAAAATTTGGCAACAAGAATAGGTCCAACACCATACAAGTTAGAAGAGGTGTGTGCTGTCTCCATTCCTATTCAATCTATACTTGTAGAAAGTGGGAATGGGAATTAAAGTTATTGGAATTTAGATCAACAATGTCCGGTACGATAGTGATGCGGTATTAATCGCCGATATAGATATAATACACAATACACGACCTACAACAACTGGTCAATATGGTAGGAGAACAAAGGACAACAACGAGATACATCAGATTTTGCAACTGATGATGGGAGGCAACATTATGCGCAAAGGAGAAATCCTAAGGGGAAAAATGTATGGCAGTGAAACATCAGGCAATGGACAGGCTTACACCATGTACAGTAGTTGATAAACACACCAAAAGAGAGAGGAAAGCAACGGAAAATGTGTTCGCAAACATCCATTAGTGGATACGCACCAGAATAATGAGTTGTTTCTAGCAGGTCAATGACATTCAGAGATATGAGTCTTTTAGAACACTACTACAAAATATTTCCTCGTTTGTTTTACGAATAGAGGTGCATCGCGAATATTTTCCTTTTCTGAAGGAAAGATAAACCAAGTTCAAGGAACATATTGGCAAAATCTAAATCTAAATAGTAGTTGCTTCCAATGTCTCCTATGGCATAGGTATAACAATCAACGGTAGAACCCTGCACCTGCACTCTGGTATTAGTCTGATCTGTTCAAAAGTGCCTGTTTCGTAACATAAATGCGGTAGAAGGTTTTTCAACAGAATTATATATTTTTTGGGGTGCTGAATACGAATCTGAAGTTTGCTGCCTCGTATCAGTACCGGCTCAGGTCGAAAAAAAAAAAAAAAAAAATTTTTTTTGTGTAAATGGCTACTTATTGTTGGAGCTGCGAGCTCTCAGGACTGCATATTTTTCTCTGGTGGAGTCACACAGTCACACATTACTTATGGAATTGCATTTTGGGGCTGTTGCAGTACTACCAATTTCAACTCCATATTTATTTTACAAAAAAGAGCCCTTATGCTTACGCCTAGAGTTCCCTTCCGACTATTTTGCAAGCCTAGCTTATGTCTGATAGAATTTTGACTGTGCCATGCTTATATACTCGTGTTTGCTTGGTTTATAGGAAATACCATGACCAACTTTCTTCGGCAAGGCGCTATTCAACTAGGCAAGCTAATAATATTCCACTGCCAATTCCCAGAAGCACCTTGGTGAAGAAGTCTTTGCTTTATTTTTCCAAGAAAGCCTTCAATTTTCCACTATCTTGCGTTAGGTCTTCACGTTCATACGGGAGGTTTAGAAACGGGGTAAGGGAGTTACTCTTGACAAGAGCCTACTATAATATTGAAGAATTCTTTGGAGGCACTTTGTGAACATATCATTTTTAACTTGGGTAAAATTTTAAATTGTTCTGATAGATATTAAGTTTTATTATTTTATTATCAAAGTTGATATGCTTTGTCAATGAAAGTTTTTTTCTGGCCAATAAGGTACTTTTTGATATGATTGATTTGATTTGACTACTTCCTATTACATCTACATACATAATACTTATGAATCCTCAATTCAGACTTACAAAAAATGAAGGAAGAAGTAATTTAGAGTTGACAAGTGGGTTTTGAGAAGTGGGGTTTTATATTGACAGGCACAGACTTTTTATTATTGAACCCCTCCATTTTGTCAAATAAGCGTTAAGCGTATATTCGTACATATTGATCCAAATTTGAAATGTTGGTGCTCAATGAACTCAATATTTGGTTAATAATTATAACTTTAACGATTTTTTCACTTAGAGTAGTTGTGTTGAAATCACTGTTGTCTAAAAGTAAGTTTATTGCAGTTTTCACAAAAGTTCATAAAAATTGGCTTTTTCCGACTGACGATGGCGGGCTTATAAATTTAACATAGGTAGGTCATTCGACGCAAAATTTCATGCTCTTGAAATTTCAATACCATGACATTTTCCATACGATGCGTCGTTTGCGAGATATGACAAGAAAACCGGAAAAAGTATAAAACATTTCTAGGTTTTCCGCGATTTTCGGCCTGAGCCGGTTCTGCTACAAGGCAGCAAACTTTAGATTTGTATTTGGCACCCCAAAAAACATAATATAATTCCATTGAATAACCTCATGCCGCATTCATGTTACCTACCAAAAGATTACCAATTGATTGGACTATATTATTGATTGTTCTTGTGAATTTCGGGAGAACAATTTTTACAGTTGCATAAAGCATTTATGAGAAACTATTTTAATATACTCTATAGGAGCAAATTGGTGTTACATAAAATATCCCTAAGCTCAGTAATCGAATTTCTGAGCAGAGCTGCGCAACTTATAATGATATGGGTAATTTTTTCCTTGCAGAAATTTAACACGTTATCATTATGCAAAACTTTTTTTCTAGCGACTATACCTATATCCAAACTGTATGTACCTATATAATAAAATACAATGGTTATAATTTGCTTTTTATTGATTTGAATTTTCACATTTTAATTTTCCTTTACACGTCTGGTTCCAAATTTACAGAATATATTTGATATTAAATCTCACGCATTTCCTTAAAGAAACATTTTGTACTTTCGAAAGCAGTTTCTTGTGGGGTAGCTTTTTCGTCGGCACATTTTTCAATAATACCATCTGCTTTAGCCTCATCGTCTACTAGCACCATAATTTTCTTCTTAAGTTCTTCTCTTATGTACTTTCCTTCTTCGTCTAAAAATCCAGCGCCTTTTCCTACGCACACCAGTTGTTCCTTGAATTTGGGATCGTCAGAAAAGTTTCCAGCAAGAGCCTTCATAACCATGTCATGTGTCGCTCCGGTTTCTGCCAAGCATGCTTGGCTAATATCCATCATTTCTTGATGTTGTTCGGGAGTGATTTCCTGAAGATTCAAGTTTAAATTGAGAATGTTTATATTGAGATTTCATTGAAAGCAAGAAGGAATATTATTTCAACAAAAATTATACATAAAAATAAAAAAAATAGTATAATATGAAATAAATGTGGAAACTAGGTTATTACCGCACGCGAGAGAAATTTGCAAACCGAGCCGGTGAGGTGAGGTGCGCAATCACTCAAGAGCGGTAATAAGTAGGTAACCTATTTACCAAACGTATTATACAAGGTGTCAATTTAAAAACTTTCAATGTGATTATCTCTGGAAGTAAAAAAAGTTAGAGAAACGTAAGGTAGGGGGAACCAGCACCACCATATTTTGGTTATGAGGTGAGTGACCCCATGGACCTCATGCACCCCAACCCCAAAATTTTTAATGGGACCCCTTTTGTGATACCTAAAACTAAATATTTTGAGTATAGTATTCACCTGCACAAGAATTTTTACAAAAAATATTCAAATTTATCACAAAATAGCACCAGCCAGCCCCATTTATAATATTGGAGTTGGGGTGCATGGGGCCCAACGGGTTATTATAACCAAAATATGATGGTTCTAGTTCCCTCTAAGTGTAAAACATTTGTACCAAATTACGTTTTTCTAACTTTTTCACTTTCAGAGATATTCGCATCAAAAGTTTTCAAATTCACACCCAGTATACAGTAATTTATCTACAACCGTGCGATAACGAAGCTTAGAAAATTCTAGAAAATAAAAAATTTCATCTCTGGCTGTCGGGTCACCTTTGAAAGTGGACGAGTGGAATTTAGGTGAATGTCATTTTCAATCTCTAAACAAGGGGGAAAAATGTTTCTTTTCCTTTCCGGGAGGATTTTTTTTTACTTCTTGGGAAAACTTATTTTCCTCCCTCTAAATTAGTAAACAACAAAATTTTCAGAAAATGTATAGGTTTATATATGAGGTTCTTCATACTATATCGATGGTGACCCATTGAGATGTCGTCAAAGGCAGTAGAAAAAACTATATGTATACATACATCCAGAGGAAAATACTTTTTCTCCCATGGTATGTAAATTGCTATTTCTACCACCTTACTAGAAAACGTCATTTTCGACCCCTAGAAAAGGGAGGAGAATGTTTTTCTTCCTCCCGGGGAGAAAAACTTAATTTGATAATAAGACAAAAATAAAATAATAGAAACAATATTTCCCTGCGCTAATGATTCAATTTTAGATACATTTTATTATAGAATTGAACAAATACTTACAGTTTTTACAACTGCTGCCAATATTGAAAGGGAAAACACTAAAACAATTTTCATTTTCGGATTTTTCTTGTAACTGCTAATCAAACTACTAACGAAATCTGAATGTATTTGTCCACAAACTACAGGGTACTAATATATATTAGTCTTATGACCTTGTGGATTAATTGTTTTTCCACAAAAATTATTTGTCACATGAAGATTCTTAAAAAAAAGTCACACACGGGTTGGTTTTTGGCCATAAAAACCTGATATGTGTTATTATCTGCCTTGCTCATTAGTAGTTAGGAATTCTTTCAAGTTCATCCAGCGTTAAGTAGTAATTATTAATCAGTAATGATTGTTATTTTTTCAGTAGAGAGTTGAGTAACAAATAATAAAAACAGAAAAATAATTTTTTGTTTTTCAATAAACCGTAACTAAATTTATTCGAACTTGAACACAAACTTCCTCTTCCGATTTTTATCTCAAAGTAGGTACTCTTTTCGACTTGTTTAACTTGTTGTTTTCTTGTTAAACCTCTCCCAAATTCCAATTTAACGCAGACGACGACTGCATGTTTATTTCTTTGTGCGGACATAAAAACTAAATAATCGTTAAGTTTATTTTTATGGCCAAACGCACGAAAGGGCACTTAGTGTTTGTAGCGCTAACCTCAGTGTCGTTTTATGAGATAGCATGTTTTATACATGATTCTTCCTTTCTAAAAACATGGAGCATTGTTGAACATTATTTTATGCATTAAGCAAATTAACTTGAACAACGCTTAAAATCATTTATCTTGAATAAATATAACTGTTTTGGAGTCTAGTCAAATCATTATTCAAAAATTACAAAACGCTTAATAAAAAACGTTCCACCCACGTTCTCCTAATTCAAAGCTTCACGTCGTATAAAAATAATATCCCATCCAATTTCCGAATTTTGCTCGCAATTTCCAACAGAACTCGGAAGGGAAAAATCATAAAACTCGACAAGCCCTGCTGCTTCAAAAATATTCAAATCATTTTACCTCCAACTCTAAAATTGTTAAATGCAAAAGCATTTTAATTTTCTAGGGGTTGCTTTTTGGAGCAAAAGGTGTGGCTTTGCTGATATTAAAAAATAGCCATCCATAATAATGTTTTTTATTTTCAATTTAAATTATATTACTGAAGTTAAACCGCCATTATGTGAGAAATGAGGGGAGAAGTAGAGTAAAATTATTTATTGAGGCCTTGAAGATATTTATTAAATGATCAGTTAGTTATACACGTGTCCCCTAAATGTTAGTTCGAATGGTTGGAAAAGTACTTGGCCAAAATTCATCAACCCTTTAGCGGAAGAAGAGACATCCCAAGAAGCATTTCATCAATCTTATCAAATACCTTAATCCTAACGTGTCTGGATGTAGTCTCACTATACACACATCCGAGCATTCCCATAAACGGAGCCTTATACCAAATAGCTATAAATGAACACATAAGTGACTAGCCGATCAATCTGTGGAAAATATATACTTCTCCTTTGAGCACCAACTAAACACACAGGTCCGAAGGAACACCTATGGACTCTATCCCCTGTAATTGCCAACCTTTTAATAATCTACTATGAGAAGAAAGTCCAAGAAAAACTGGCTCTGATACGTGGACATCTTCCATCATTCGGCCGCATATACGAGAAGAGCTAAACAACTTTCTAGCGAACATAAACTCGAGACAAAGGAAAATCAGGATCTACTATTCAAAACGGAAGAAGATAGCTTAGCCTTACTAGAAATCTAGAGATAGATTAGGGGCGTTTCGTCATTTAGTTGAACGCATACCATGGAATTCCGACAATTTTTTCAACTTCTGCAGAATGAGCCAACCTACATTTGAAATAGTTTGAATTCATTTCAAATGCGTCGCCGTTTGAAAACGTCCGACGAGTCCCATTCAAATTGGATCAGTTGTTGATTGGACTAAGACGTGCGAACGAAGTCTAGGGAGTGGATCACCGTCCTAATATTTTTATTCAATCTGATTAGTCGAAGGATTACGCACGATTACTAGGTCGTACCAAAGGTCGTACGCAGCTACCTCTCATGTCATGGTTTCTGGCCCTTCAGACTGATGAGATGATCAAAAAGATTACCCGTGAGGATGTCCCGTCAAGTTGGGATGAGACTATCACCTGTCAACGCTAGCCAGGAAGCTGCTCAGTAAATACCTTAACAAAGTATCAGCAAGTACTTACCTGGCCATGTCTAGGAAAAACATATGTGACGTCACGGGATTTTTGGGCACCGCCAGCTAAGAAAAAAATTATATTCAACGAGATTAAACGAATCACCTTTGTGAAAAGTTTGCGGGCAGGAGGACGAAACAGTGGAGCTTCTGCAATGCTCGTTGGAAAACCAGCGAATGCACACCCAAAATATCTACAATCAATCTCCATAAATGATTATATAGCGAGGACCTAAAGTCCTCCCTCACTGCTAACATCGAGATGCTCTCATTAGTGCAAAGTAAATACCTGAGTGCGCCCCGGAGTAAGCAGGGGAGAAGAACTTTAGGTCCTGGCTGTAAACATATTTACTTTTCCATTTAAAGGGGTCTCTACTTTTAAGAAATACCTACTTTTTAGAATTTATTCCCAATTTCAGGATTTGTTTTTCCAATTCCATCAGAAGGTTCATATGCATTAGAATGGTGACAGTTTTTTTATTGGAAAAAATATATTTCTATAGGATTAATTTATTTGAACTATTTGTTACGGTTGGATGTTTCTTACAAAAAGGAAAATGCTATTGAATGTAATTATGGTTGAAAAGATCGTATTTCTGACAGAATGGAGAATGAGCTATAACTTGAAATAATTACCTGAGTGATTTGACTTATATTTAATTTTTTTTTTTGTATAAGAGAAACAACTCCATAGGTACTTTATATTAGATGTTAATTGGTGCGTCTTTGATTAACATAGTTTAGCCTGGCAGGCAAGGTTGTGATGAATTTGAAAATCGCCATTGTTTTGCTTCTTTGAGCATCCATGCAATGTCATCTTACATCGTAGAATAGTTGTGTGTGATGGTTTGACGCTGTGCGACAGATTATTTTTCTTGGTACCATCTCACCCAGGTCTGTACTCAAGGGAAGCATAATAGCAGGTGTGCTAACCATTGCATGATCTATCACCACAATTAATTATTTCGCATTGTGCCTAGTCTGATCCTTGTCAACCTTGATATTATGGTACTACGGTACTACGGAACCTTCCTCTCTAGTTCTACGATGGGAACCATTTTTGGGAGTTTTATTTTATGGATAGCCCGTGGATTTTCTTTTCTGTGCGAATAGCCATCTGGGTAACAACTCGGCTCAAAAAGCGACAAATTTTGAATTGTCACAGGATTTGGATATCGGGATTATACATTTGGCGCCCAACGTTCCACAAGTTTATCTTGCTGATCAACTACCAGTTTGCTTCGTCCTTGGTCCTCATTCAGCAACAAACTCTGACAGATTTTGTCAAATCGGAAACGGATGCTACAGTTTTGTCAAGATGGTAAATATAATTAAATTTTTGTTTGTTTGTTTTTGTGCATTTCATTCCAAACTTGGCCGTAATTTCTGGGGGATTTCCTTGTTGAATTATATTTGCTAAAAGAAACATGATTTAAATCAAGCCAGACAGACTTTCAAAGGAGGAGCTGGAGTATGAACTCAATGTTCGAGGGATTACGCCCAAGGGTACCGCGAAAGAGTAAGATTTTTTTTTAAGGGAATGTAATTCTCTAGAAAATGACGGTCAAAATTTTAATCATAACTTAGTATATGTCAGGATAAATTAAATGATATAGAATACGCCTTAAATAATTCTTTCACGGAAACATTGATAAGAAAAGTTCAGAGTAAGTTGGGACATATTTTGAATAGAATGAAGCGAATTGATCCTCAAGAAGATGATGATATTAAACACAAACTCGATTTGCTTTCTTTAGCCTCAAGTTACTTTAAAATTTTCAAAAAAAAAACAGGAATCTTTCAAACTTAAAAATAGGGAACCTTTAGATATTAGGGAACTCAGGGAGAAACAGAATCAATTGGAATTTATGTAGCTTACATGACAAACATTTTCAATAGATTATCTATAAAAGTTGATGGATCAATAAAATTAAAAATCTTAAGGAAGAATATTCTACCATTCTATCAAAACCAGCTAGAATTAATAGATATTTCTTCCACGGATGAATTAATATCACTCTGTGGGAAATTAGAAGATAATAGAAGTGATGTACTAAAATTTAAAGCTTCTGTTTAGGACAAAAACCAGATTGGATCTGACTTAGCTTACAAATTAGATAAGGGTGTAAAGAAAAAAAATGATAACATAGAAATTGACAAACAAGTTAGTTTTTCTGACAATGTAGATAATGATAGTTCAATCAACAAAAATAGAGATAATTCAAAAGTTCGTATTTATGGTAGAGAGAGAGAACGAAGTCAGGATAAAGCCGGTTCCGGCAGATATGATACTAATAACGTAATAACCAAGGATTGAATAGAAATTCTAGTCTGAATGGGAAAAATGGTGGTTACAGGGCTGATAGTAATTATATTAGCAATAGATATGAGAGAAACACAATGATAGGTATGATAGGAGTTCAGGAAGATACGATAGAAGTACAGATAGGTATCATAGAAGTAGAGATAGGGATAATAGATATGATACTAGTAGGAATAGATATGACAGGGATATAGGAAGATATGATAAAAGTACAAACAGGTATGATAGAACTAGACAGGTATGATAGGAGTAGAGACAGGCATGATTGAAGTACAGATAGGGGAAATAGAGAAGGAATAAATGGAAGCGCTGGTGGTAACATACATAATATAAATAGGGGAACGAGTGGAGATCGAATGAGAAGTGTCTATGAATAGGACACCACAGAATCAGAATTCACGACTCAGTAGATATAAGAACTTCCATTATAGCCCATCTGCGGCACAAGGTATTAGGTGTTTTAAATGTGATGGAGTGAATCATTTAGCAAAACATTGTAGAAGTGCGACTTTAAAATGTTCCAAATGTAGATGAGTGGGTTACACAAAGATTTCTTGTCCTCGATGCCA